TGAACTCTTTTTTATAATATTTTTATCATTATTATATTTTTGGATTAATTTTTTTTTCCTAATTTTTTATAAAGTCAATTTTAATATTTAAAAGTATTTAACATTTTGAATTCTGTAACTTTTTCTCTATTAGAAAATTTAAAAATATAATATACTAAAAAAGTATTATACATAATTATTTCATTCAAATTTTTAATAATATGATAAGTCGTCAAATTCGTATATAAAACAAAAGTAATGATGGATTAAAATAGAACAACATTTACAAGAAACTATTTATTTTTATTTATGATGGATCAAAAGTGGAAATACATTTAAATTTATAAATTTATTTATGAAACACATGTAAATTTATAATTAACGAAAATATAATTAAAATCTTAATATAATATGATACTTTTAGTAATGTATTTTTTATAAATTTAAACTTACTTTTTTAGTTTAGTTTTTAATTTTTATGTATTATTATTGTTAATTGATATACTAGAATAAATTTATATAAAAATAGTCTTTATCTTTAAAATTCACTTCTTCAAATTCTATCTTTATATATTTCTACTATTTCTTTATAGTTAAGAAGGTCAACATTTGTGCACACACTTAAATATAATATAAAGTAAAAATATTTATTTATTCTATTTTATTTCCAATCTATAATTTGAGTTTTTTTTTAAATATATTTTATATTTTTAAAATTAATAATTTTAATGTAGTTATCTAAGTTTTTGATGCGATGATTTTAATTAATTGATATTATCAAACCATTTAATTTGATTTATTAAAGTAAAAATCATAAAAATAAATGTTAAAATAATATTAATTATTTTAAATTATAAGAAAATAAATAATAAAAATAGAAAATAAAGTATTATATAAAAGAAGACTAATTATTATAAAGATAAAATAAAATATGGGAGAAAATGAGGATGATAATGTAGTAAAAATGATAGAGTTTAAAAAAATGTAGAATGTGAGAAGTTAAAAAAAAAGTTAAAAAAGGATATATATATATATATATATATATATATATATATATATATATATATATATATAAGTAATTAGATTAAATTTATTATCCCCTCATATATTATTATACATTATTAGCGTAATTTTAGTTTAATTAAAAATTAGAATACAAATATATTATACTATACTAATATACCGTTATATTATAATATTTGTAATTTATTTTCAATGTGTATAAATTTATATTTTAAATTTTTTCTTAAATATATAAATATATAAATGTATAAAGATATAAATTTATAAAAATATAAATGTATAAACATATAAATAAATATATAAAGATATAAATATATAAAGATATAAATACATATAAATATATAAAGATATAAAGATATAAATATATAAAAATATAAATTTATAAATATATAAATATGTAAAGATATAAATATATATCTTTAATATTTTGTACATGTAAATATAATTTATATATATATTTTTAAACTTTTTTCTAATATTTATTTTTAAAAATATAATATTATTTTTAAAATTTAATTTTTAATTTTTTAATTTTTTCTTAAATATATAAATGTATAAAGATATAAATAAATATATCAATATATTAATATTTAAATATATATTAAAATATATAAATATATTTGTATTTATAGATTTTATATTTATATATTTATAAGGATATACATTTATTTGTATATAAATATATTTTATTTGTAAATTATTATTGAAAAATCCTAGTAGCTTAGTGGTTGAAGTTTCAGCTTCCAACTCCAAGGTACCGTGATTCGTCAATGACAATTTGTCATTGATTTAGCGACCGATATAAGTCGGTCGTTAATTTTTGTCGACCTAGGGGAGTCTTTATCCTCGACAATAACAATTTGTCATTGATTTAAGGACCGATTTTTTCGTTCGCTAAAATAATTTTTTCTTGTAGTGTATTAATATTTCATCTAAATTTATATAATTAAGAGTCTTGTAAACCAATAGATTAACGAATGAAATAAAATTTTAAAAAAGTTTGAGAGAACACTTTAAAAATAATGGAGAAACTAACGTGTAAATAATCCAACTATTGGAATTGGACTAACTAATATTTATTTCAATTTGTTCATTTAGTTAAATAAATAAATTTAAATTCAAAATTAGACTAAAATATTAAAATGAGTAAAATGTAAGCTTTAAAAATTCTATTAGGATTAAATAGTTTTTCAACTTGATTAGCTATTGAATGTTGTGCTTATTAACTTATTTAATATGTAAACCATGATGACTTTACTCGTTAAAATAATTTGGCAAGTTTATTGGTCTAAATTATGTACACACATATATAGTTTGACTTCATTGAGAATGTTAAATTGATTTTGAATATTTTTACTATTAGTTGATATATTATGCTGTTTTTTATTTTATTTACTAAATATTAAAATGTTTGATTCTAAAACTTTTTTCACATGAGATATTACAAACATTTTTTCAGTTACTGGGGCAACTATAATTAAAATATTATTAGATGTGTTAGATTGAAATCTAACAAGATGCTAAAAAGACAAAGTTACAAAAAATAATTAAAAAAATCATAAAATATATTTAATTTATAAATGAGCTAGCCATATGAAGTTTAAACGTGAATTTTTTTTAACCAGTCAAGTCAAAGTTTTTTAATTAGACTTTTTTCAACAAATAAATCAAACTCGATTTTTTTTTTTCAGACTTCGAACTCATTTACACTCCTAAAATAGGAAAACATAAAAACCCTTTCTTTAATTTATTAACTGGATGGTAGACAGAAGAAACTAAGAACATATTACGGATGACAAGATTAATTTAATATATTATTATTGTTGTTTTATTTATTTATCAGTTTGTATAAAATTATATATATATATATATATATATATATATATATATATATATATATGTTTCAGTTTATAGCAACATTAGTTTTAATAACTTCATCGTATCTTTCCCATCATCATTTTAATTTTTGTTCCTCATAAGCGTATGGAACATTTAAAATATAAGTAAATATAAATACACAGATATTATATATATATATATATATATATATATATATATATATATATATATATATATATATATATATATATATATATAAAAGCAAAGCTTATTTTGTAATTATTTTTCCTATTTTACGTATCAATTTATTTATTTTCTCATACTCTCCCAATTTGTCTTCTATGGTTCGTTATATTTCTAGTTCTGTTTTTATATTCCCCTAACGTGGGTTCGACTTGGTCTGGTTTGCGACATCGAGTGGTAGTCAAACTTTGATGGCTACCGTTGAGTTTGTGCAAAAAAAGGGTGTCAAAACGCTTCTGAATTAATATTATAGGTCCTCCTTTGAAGGGTCCAATTAGATAATGTTCAAACACACTCCACAGATTACAATTTTATTTTTAAAACACGCTACCCTGTATATGAACTATACATAGCCTAATTTATGTTCATGAATTTACTAGCGAGGGTAAACTATTGCTTTTTGAAGGCAAATATGTGTTCAAAAAATCAAGTTTTTGGTTTATGACCGTTAAGACCACTTTTTGCAACTGTGTTTATTTCTTTGAATTTTGATGAAGAGTAAAACCATCTGATAATGAATTACAATATTGTTTATTTCGTGGGTGGAAGAAAAAGTCGATTGTGCCTTTGGGTTTCCCATAAACAAACTCATGTCATGCATGATCCATTATTAATGATTTTGAACACTATATATGGTGTGTTTATGACAATATATAGAACATCAGATTATAAGATAAGAGACATACATGACTAGAAACAGGCTCAGAAAGGTGACAAAGTCAGTTGTTTGAACAAATCTTGGGAGTCTTGGACTTTATATTTTCTCAAGTCTCATTTCTCAACTTCCTTGACTATTGATCTTCAGCATTTTTGTTCATGGTTTTTCAAACTTTTATCTTTGAGAGTCTCATTTAGACTTCATTAAAGAAACCGGAGGGAAAGACCTGGTCCTAGCTATACGGTAAAAAATTATAATGATTTTTTTATAAATTATATACAATACAAAACACAATCAGAATCTTGAAATTGATTATTACATGTATTAAAAAGGAGAAAAGAATATGGGTATCTTTTTTTTCCTGTTCTTAAGTATTTTTTGTAAATTATTGAGATAAGATATGAATAAAATTTCGTTCTCTTAATTTTTTTCTTTCATGTTTTTTTATTTTTGATAAAAAGATAAAACTTATATTTAGGTCAGAAAAGTAATCTTATTTTAAATTAATACATATTAATTCTTTTTAAAATTGTTATTCTCATCAAATAACATTCATTATAAAAAATTCTTTCTATTTTACTTATTTATCATTTAATCTATTATTTATTATTTATTCTCTCCCTTAATAAGTAACGTGTTTATCATGAGACATAAAATTTACTAAAAGAACTCACTCCATACAATCATACATGTCACCACATTGGTATATAGATCCATGCATTATTTGACGAGATTCTGTTTAGAGCATCGTTAAGGGAAAAAAAAAAAAAGCAAAATTTAAGACATTCTGTTTTTCTTTGAATGAATGATCCATGCATTGGTTGAAATCTCGTAATTAACAAGAACGAACTTTTGCGTAAGGGATGGGGGTACCCTTTTCCCTTTCTATATATAATATATATGTTGTCTTTGCTGATAAAAATAAATAAATAAATAAATAATCCATGACACATCATTTAAATCTTATTTAAAGAAAAAAATACCGAGAAAGAGTGTATACGTTGAAATGCAATTGTTCTTGTTTATACAATACAAAAAATAAATATTGTACAGAATGTAGAAGAAAGTGGTGAATAAATAATCAAGATTAGGATAATATCGTATTTCGATAAATGAATGTTACACTTGTGTACGATTATTGCAATTGAATAAGAATAGGAAACTGAGTATTTTAGAACTTGACCAAGCATTTTTGCTAAGGTTGTTCCAAGCTAGTAAACCCAAAAAGAAAAACAAAAGTTTACATATAACGTTGTGCATGGACGCATGCAACGTTTTCACGTATGAATTGGATCGGGACTTGATACCACCGGAGAGCTTCGTGGGAGCTTCAGCAACAGTTGTTCCGGTAATGGCCTGCACGCTGCTCCAAATTGAGGAGACACAACCAGAAAGACCAACATCATGAGCAGAACCATGAAGAGGTTTCTTCGATAACTGTGAGAAAAAGGCATGTCTGTATGTAATGAATTGAAGCTGGTGTATATTAGGTAAGTGTTTTTCACAGATTGATTATGTTTCGGTGGTGTCTTGAAATGGGGAAACAGGTAACTAATTGGCAGAGAAAACGATAGATGGCGATGTGAATGTTGTGGAGGAAGCAGAATCTCAAGCCTATTGATATTATATAGGGTTATTCACGCGGGTACTGTGCCTTGACCTGTGTGATACGTGTCTCTGTTAAGTTGGTTTTAGAGGAAGAAAAGTTCTGGGTTGACTCAGCATGCACTTTGAAGGTTCAACTATGAACTACAAAAAGACCATTTATAATATGGATTGAATTGAACAAATCAAAATTATAAAGTAAAAATCTAAACCACCTACCCACCTGGAAAGTATTCCCTTCCAAATCGTTTATTGGTTTTAGTTAGTAACCATTTGGATGCGAGAATGATATAACTCATATTACTTTAAAATTATAAAGAGGATGATAATTTGATATTTGTATGATTATACCTGTATTTATTATTTGCATTTAAATTTGTACTTTTTTTTTCTTGTACAAACTAGAAAAGTAATAATATTATTTTGAAGTTAGATAATATCTTGAAAAAATAATAAAACTAAGTATTACTGATTAAATAAAACATCTAAAGTAATTTTTTTATTTTAATTTTTAACTATAATATATTAAGCTTTTTTTCTATTTCATTTGTAAAATAGAAAAAAGTTATGTATAAAAATGTTTTAATTTTTGTTAAAATTATAAAATAAATACAAAATAATTTATTTATTTTTTAAATAATTTCAAGCATGTGATTCTTTTCTAAACGTCTCTAAATAGAATACCACTTTAAATTTTCCTAGGAATAAAATACGTTAAAATAGAAAAGTATTGATTCTCTAAAATTAGAAATAAATTAATCATCAACTTGTACCTCCATATCTAGTATTCTAAGACTCTATCTAGTCTTCAGGAATCATCTTGGACTTGCTTGAATCATCATCTTTATCACCTACATCATAAATTCAACTTCTCCTTAAATTCATCTTGAATGGTGTTGACTTGAATGTAGTTGACTTTAATCATCATCAAAATCATCTCTTGGGAATGCATGAACATTTCCATCAATCTCCCCCTCATTGCTTTTAATCTCCCCTTTTTGATGATGATCAAGGAAACACCTGAAATGAATTAAAATGCTTGACTCTATATAGCCAGCTCAAGATTAGCACATATTTGTATCAAGTGTCGAGTCTTTTAATCTCCACCTGGATATATTAATAACATGACTCCCCTTAACTCATATGAGCAAATACTTCTCTTAACTCCCCTTGTTTAATTTAGATAGGAAAGAATTTCACATGATTTTAATTCATAAAAAAATCTCCCCCTGTTTCATTGAAAATCATAAAAAAATATTATAAGAAAAAATTTTCTCCTGTTTCACATAGATTAATATCATCAAAATATCTCCCTGTTTCATTGATAATTAAAAAAAATATTATAAGAAAAAAAATCTCCCTCTGTTTGCATGCATTAATACCATCAAAATATTTCCATGTTTCATTGATAATTATGAAAAATATTATAAGAGAAAACAAATCTCCCCCTGTTTCACATGCATTAATATCATCAAAATATCTTCATGTTTCATTGATAATTATGAAAAATATTGCAATAGAAACTGAGAACAAATTTGTACCTATTAGTATATAAATCAAGATAGAGAAGATAATGCATTAAAAAGTGTCATAGAGAAGAATATCATATTAAGGAAACAATATCTAGGATACCCAAGACAAATGAAGAGAGAGAAAGATAGGGGAATAAAATTATTATAGAGATAATGGAATTAAATGCAGTAGTTTCTCTCAATTGCAATCTTCTTATTTAGGCAACTTTGAAATTCAAATGCACTCATATTCCAGATTTCAAATTTCAAATTCAAATTGCAACAAATTTCAAATTTCAAATTCAAATTCCAACCAATTCCAAATTTCAAATTCAAATTTCTAATCCCAAATTTCAAATTCAAATTTCAAATTCAAATTCAAATTCAATTTCAAAATCTCAAACTGCAAAAATTTCAAATTTCAAAATCTCAAACTACAAAATTTCAAATTTCAAAATTGGTCAACATAATTGATTATGACAACAAGAAAAAAAATTCCGATTCTGATAATCAATTAGATGCTCAAATTATCATCTAGACATGAATAAATGCTTTGTTCCTTTAGGCACTCATTCATATTTGTCATTAGATATGCCAAAATGTTTTATGTAACATCTATTTGATGTATGACCTAATTTCATGCAATAAAAACATGTTGGTTTTCTTTGAAAAGGTCTAAATGCATTTCTTAAAGTTTTTGAAACTGGTTTCACATCTGTTTTCCTTGACTCTTTCACAAAAATAGTTTTATGAGGTTCTAGACTTTCTTTGGGTTTGTAACCAAGTCCAGCTTTGCTAGAATTTCCTCTTTGATAACCTAATATCGAATCAAGATTTTCAGAAGATTTTGAAAAATTGCTTATTATTTTCTCTAACTTGAAAATCTCATTTTCCAAAAGATTACAATTTTCACAAGGTTTAACAACTTCTTTATTTTTAGACAAAGTTTTAGATTTCTCAACATCTTTCTTTAAGCACTCATTTTCTTTTTCAAGAATACCAACAGTATTTTCTAATGCATTAAACTTTTGCCTAAGTGCATTGTATTTCTTAGATAACTTGGTAAAACCTTCATACATATCTTGATATTCTTTAAATAACTCATCATATTCATTTAAGGAATTTGTACTACTTACCTGTGATGAGGCTTCATCATCACTTTTTGTCATCAAGCAAAGATTTGCTTCTTCTTCTCCGTCACTGCTTTCGGAAGAACTCTCTTGTGTTGTGGAAGAATCATTATCCTCCCAAGCAATATAAGCTTTGCGTTTGCTCTTATAGGTATCGTTCTTCTCTTTCTTCTTCTCTTTCACATCTTTCTTCTCTTTCTTAAGTTTCGGACAGTCTGATTTGATATGACCAGGTTTTCCACCTTCATAGTAATGGAATTTATTTGTTTTCTCCTTTCTTTGTTGTCTCTTTTTCCTGTTCTTCATAAAGCGAGAAAATTGTTTAATAAAAAGAGACATATTGGAATCCGAAAACTTACCTTCATTTTCGCTTTCGTCTTGTGAAGATTTTTCTACTTTTAGAGCTATCGTCTTGGTTTGATTATGTTCACCGTTCTTTAACCTTTGTAGCTCCATCTCATGTTCTTGCAACTTTCCAAATAGAGTAGCAATATTCATTTTTGTGAGATCCTTTGATTCTGTAATAGTAGTGACCTTTGGTTGCCAATTCCTGTCTAAGGATTTCAAGATCTTTGTGTTCAACTCCTCATTGTCAAAACTCTTTCCTAATGTTTTCAAGTGATTTACAATATGTGTGAAGCGTGTTTGGAAATTTGTGATGCTTTCATTTTGCTGCATTTGAAATAATTCATACTCCTGGATGAGTGTGTTTTTACGTGCTCGCTTTACTTCATTTGTTCCTTCATGTGTTACTTCAAGAGTGTCCCATATTTCTTTTACCGTCTTGCATTGTGAGACCCTGAAAAATTCATTACGAGTTAAGGCAGAAACAATAGCATTTTGGGCTCTTACATCATAATGGGCACGCTTATTTTCATCCGGCGTCCATTGATCAAAAGTCTTTGGAACAACTCCAGACTCCGTTGTTCTCATCGGAATGTAGGGACCATTGAGTACAGCATCCCAAACACCATAATCTAGTGTTTGTAAAAATATTTCCATTCTCGCCTTCCAAAACTGATTGTCTTCTCCTTCAAATAATGGTGGTCTGTTTATTGAGGCTCCTTCCCTGTAACCCTGATTCTGCATAGACATCTTGAAAGATCGTTTAGAAATATCTTATCTAACCAAGCTCTGATACCACTTGTTAGACAAATGGCATCTAGAAGGGGGTGAATAGATACACAAATTAAAATAGATGTCAAATTAAAAATTTATTTGTGAGTCAATAATTTGTTAAAACGAAAGCAATAATATAATCAGGAAAAGAGAAAGAGATAAGGGAAAGAGAAGAGCACACAGAGATTTATACTGGTTCGGGTATAGCCAACCCTACATCCAGTTCCCAGTCAACTCTTAACACAAGAGTGACTCCCCATTCACTATCTTTCAAATTCAGTTTACAAATTACAATCAACTCAGCAGAAGAACCAGTAAAAGGTAAACTAATTAAAAAGACAATCACCTCCTTAGAAACCCACTAAGGATGAATACCTCCCTAAAATCCCACTAGGGATGAACACCTCCTCTGAACAAATCAAAGGATGAAAAACACCTCCTTAGAATCCCACTAAGGATGAATCCCTCCCTAGAATCACACTAGGGATGAAAAACACCTCCTTTTCCACCAATGCAAAAAGGATGAAGGTAATAAAAATAAGAACATACACACCTGGGTAATGGAGACAACAAATTGTAGAAGCCTGTAGAATGCCAATCTCTAAGAACAAGTGTGATTAATAATGAAAGCACATAAGGCAGTAGAGAAGAGGGTTTTTTCAAAAGGTGTAAAATATCTCTGTTGCCTTGCCTTTCTCAAAACTGATTGAATGTAAATTGTATTTTCGAATTCTGTAATTGTGTGTTTTTTATTTTTCATCAAAACTTAATTAAATAGAAAAATAACATCAGAAAATGGCCGTTGGACATTAATAATATCATAGAGAAAATCAGGATGTATTCAAAAACATTTATTCTTTAAAACGAATATATTTTTCAAATTTGAATTGCCATAATTGATTATATTACCAGTATAATTAATTATGATAGAGAAAATCATTTTTCCATTTCTGGTGCATCATAATTAATTATGACAGTGAAACATATCATGTTATTAATTTTATCACACTTGTGCTTTGGAGGCTTATGCATAATATTACTTCATCAACTTGTACCTCCATATCCAGTATTCTAAGACTCTATCTAGTCTTCAGGAATCATCTTGGGCTTGCTTGAATCATCATCTTTATCACCTACGTCATAAATTCAGTTTGTCCTTAAATTTATCTTGAATGGTGTTGACTTGAATGTAGTTGACTTGAATCATCATCAAAATCATCTTTTGGGAATGCAGGAACATTTCCATCAATCTCTCCCTCATTGCTTTCATAAATGTTTTTAATTTGAATAAATCTTGTGAACATTAGCAAAATATTTGCTATTACATCGGAAGAAGTGTAAATAAAGGTACCAAAATAGATTTAGTTGGAGGCTCATGAAATA